TTTTTTTTTGGCTGCTCCGGGGGGGGTGCCAAGGGGGTCTCTCTGAGACCCCTCGCCCAGCAGATGCCTTGCAAACTCCGTTTGCCGCAACGGTTTTCCCCTGCTTTGTTTGCAGTACCGTTAGCCAACGGCGGCGACCACTGCGATTTTATCCGACAGACGTGACAATGGAAGAAAATGTCAGGGGTGGCTGGGGCGGGTTTTTTTTTGGCTGCTGCCCTCCTGTCAGGCTTTTGGGATGAGCTGATTTTAAAGGGCCGCGTCTTGAGCCTACTCACATCTCCAGGGTGCCTTCAGTGACACCACGACGTGTCCCTAGAAGTCTTCCTCTAAATGTCCGTGATTGCTCCTGCTAAATGAGGACAGGCAGATGAATCAGGCTCCGTTCGTGCCTGAACACTGGCCCTCCTCGCAGGCATGCTGGGGACCTCTGTGCCTAGACCACTTCTTTTCCCTTTTAGAAGCTGCAGATGTTCGGCACCTGCAGAAAAGGAGATGTATTCTTTTTTTTCCCCCCAACCCTAAAAATGTGATGTGTTTTGTGCTGACGGATAAAAGCGTTGCTGGCATTTTAGATTTTTTCCCTTTCCAGTGTCTCAACAATTCCTTTTTTCCTTTCCTGTTTTAGACCTTCTCAAAGGCTCTAGGAACCTGTGAAGCGTTCAGGCACAGGCTTGAGCTTTGTGCCTCGTGGGCCTTTAAGGCCAGAAAGGCTGGTGACGTTCATGAAAGTCCCTTAATCTGACAACACCGACACCCGTCCTGGTGCGTTGGCTTCCGTTTTCATCTGCCCGAATGATGACAATTGATGGGAGTTTGTTCTGTGCGGGCAGGGGTCAGTGCACACAGAGACACAGAAAGATCAGGTGGCTTTAAATGTAATTTTAAAGCGTTTGTATGACTGTAGTGCCAGCTCGATGACCCTGAAACCCCAAAGTCCCCTGATAGCGAACACCAAGCAGCGCCGAATTTCATCAATGTTATTGAGCGGTGGCCTCAAGAAATGACCTTTACAAGAGCAACTTTCAATTGCTAATGTGCAGCCCCGATGAAGGGGGGTTCTGGGAGCCTCTTTCTAAAGGACTGGTGAAAAATGACTGAGAAGACCAAAGTTCCTGCAGCTCACAGAGCAACCTCTCCGTCTGACTCCTCGACAGAGGTCTGCATCCCCACCCGGGCACACACAGCAAGAGGTTGGACACCAAGGGACCCCCCCCCGCTCCCTGGAGCTGTTCCAGCCTCATTTCTAAGGCAGAAATCAAGAGGTGTGGGGAGAGAAGTGATAATTTTAAGACTGCGTTTTTGCAAGACCTGCATCCCCATCGCATTCCGGCGAGCGCTGCCAGAGGTGCGCTTGCTCTCAAAGCTGGAGCTGGCACTCGGACGCAGAGCCAACCCACCGGGCTCGCTGATGGCCTGCGCAGAGCTGGCTGATGGCAGATTATTTTTAAACCAAGCTAACCTGCGAGGGTGACCTCAGTTCCGCGCAGGGGTACGCCGGGTAGGGCGAAAACAGCCCTACTCGGCTCACGGCATCCTTCCCCGTTCATCGGCAGGCACCTTTCCGAAAGAGCCCAGCTGCCTGGGAGATGAGAAATGCCCTTTGCAGGGAGCAGCCTCACAGATGG